GAAGACAGGTGTCTGCTAGGGAGAGCAGGAACCTCCCTTGGGATGAAAGAATGTAGACCTCCTCCCTCCGAATTATTATAATTTTGAAATCAAGGGGCCTTTAGGCAGAGATCTGGGGATAGGAATAACAGTTCTTTACTAGTATAACCAGGCAAACAAACAAACAATAACTACACATTATCAAGAAAACAGAACCAGGGACCCCGGGACAGCCTTCTTGGCTGAGACGGGATGGAGGAGAGGCTTTGTTTTCACAAACCCCCTCGGGCAGTCAGTCCCGGTGCTCCTGCAGGGCTCCGAGGAACAGCCGGCTGGAACAGCAGGGATGAGCTGAGATCCTGGGCCGGTGGCTGAGGTGGATCAGCAGCTCTGCGGCGGTGGCTGGCACTGCCACATGTCCCGGCAGGACAGGGGGTGCAAGGCCACCAACAAAGAGGGGAGAAGGAGAAGAAGCAGCCGCTCCGTCTGGGTGATGGCAAAATTCCCTTCTCTCCACCGCAGCAGCTCCGTGACCCAGAAAACGAATGACTTTTTCCGAAACCGAAGAAAGCCAGCAAAAAACTGTCCCCACCCTCCTTTCCTGCCCCCTTCCCCCGTCCCTGGGCCCGGCCACTCCTTGTCCTTTGTCGAGGACCCACCAAATACCCACAGTTAGGCTGTCCCCACAACTAATGGGTAAAAATTCCACGGGCAAGCCAGAAGAAAAAAAAGGACACCTAACCCCGAACAATAAGGAACACAACTAAGCAATAGGAGAACGGAACTTGGACCACTTAACAACCTGAAAAGCTCTTGGAAGGAGAACTCAGGCTTGTCCTGAGATAAACAAATGTTTCCCAGGGTTTAAAACTGAGGCTTGGCTTATCAGGGTTGAAATCTGGCTGACCCTGTGTCTTAGTGTCTTGGTTTGAAAAGACAGGTGTCTGCTAAGGAAGGCAGAAACCTCCCTTGAAATGGAAAAAAAAAATGTAAACCACTGTCATGGGGTGACTTTACCTTTAAGACAGTTTTGAGAGCTAAGGAAGTTGAAGCTGCTGATTGCTGATGGGAGACTTCTGACCAAACAAAACAGATGAAGATAACCTTTGCTTTTGAACAGCTCATCCTTAAAATAATACCACATAAGTTGACATGGCCCATTGATTCAGCTGTGGAAAGGCTGTGAAAATGGGAGGAGCTTCAAGACTGCAGATCTTTTCATGGGCAGCTATTTGTGGGAACGAAAAACCACAAGAGAACTGTTTCTTGTGAAGTCTCCATGGCACGGCGAAAGAAAAATAGAAAAATCCTCTCCCTACAAGAACTGACGAAAGACTATTTCAGAGTTAGTAGCTGATTTAAAATCCCAGATTTTATCTCCATGTTGTCAGTTGGGAAAGAAAAGTAGTCAGACAGGGGGAGGAGAAGTATTCTGATGTTTTTCATTCTGATTATTTTTATCTAGTTTTGTTAATAAAGTTTTCTTCATATCTTTTAAGTTTTGAGCCTTTTTTGCCCTCCTTCTAATCCGTATCTCATGAAGAAATGGATGAGAAATGAGTAAGTGCACTGGTGATTTTAGCCAGCACTAAACCCACTACATTATTTGGTGCATTGGCCAGGAAACTTAAATTGTCTACTACACAAGATAACACATATTTTATTTTCAGGTAGAATAATTATTTCTGGAATGATCTTTCCTTCATAAGCCTTGGATTTCTAACTACTTCTAACTACTGTAGTTTGCAACAATACACATTTCTCTGACGTCTCTAAGGAGAACAGTTCCACTTTTCAAGCATCACAACTAGCTTGTCAGGGAACTCTCTTCATCTCATGGAGGAAGAGTCACAAATGGGTTAATTAGGACATCTGCTTTTTTGATTTTCCAGTGAAATTTGGATTTGATGGATTTTCCGTCTGATTTTCCAGTGTTTTTACCTACAGGCAAAACTGTCACTTTCACTTTTAGTCTACTACAGTAATTCATAGATGGCAGACCCTGAAAACTATGCTCAATTCTTCATTCAGCTAAAAAACCCACTTAATGAAATCCATGGGTTTGCATGAATAAATGCCACATCAAAAACAGTTTACAGAACAGAGTTCAAAGAACTGACACAATTTATCACACCCCATTGAGCCTCTCTGATGCCTCTTGCCTCTCTCAGCATGGTCCCTGCTTACCTGCTAGTGGAGCTGGCTGAATTTGCTGGCCCAGCAGAAAACCATGGACCCCAGACACCTCAGGTGCAGCTGGTGGGGAAGACCCCAGTGGTCAGATCTGCTGTGGCAGCAATTCTTGCAGGGCCCTGGCAATGAAAGATAGCCTCCCCTCCCCCACACAGAGGCTGAAGTACCTCTCCACTGATAACTATTTCCCCATCTCCTACTTCCCCCAATAACCTTGGAAAGCAGCTGCCAAGTCAGTGGGGCAGGGTGATGGGAATCAGTGAATGCTGACTCTCACAGTCCAGTTTGTACCACCAGCAAGGGTGGTACATGAAGTATTTCTGATCATCTCAGAAAACAGAGATGCAAAATTCAGAACTGATTTCATTCCAATAGTATGTATAAAATTAGGAACTGCACAAAGCTATTGAAAAGGGTTTCAGTGGTACTGTTTCTAAAATTGTTTTCCTACAGAATGAACGTTTTTCTCTCCTTGTGTTCTGCCATCCTGCAAATTGTCCTCCCGCAAGTAATATGCTCCATAATGAATTTCTCAGTCCCAACTTAGTAACACATTTTACATTGAAGGGCTCCTTAATTCACTGTGTAACACTGAGTGCAGTCAGGGGAATACTACAAAACAAGGCACTACAAATAGAAGGAAAAGGATAGTACCCAGCCTTACATTCAATACTGTCTAATCAAGGTACGTTTGGTCAAGGCTCATGCTGCACTTCAAACTGCTGCATAGTTTTCAGCTATCTTTCTCAAAAAGATGTTTCCATGATAGCATAAACATAACTTATTGTCTTCAGGCTGCTTGCTTATTACAGAGCCTGAATGTCTTGCAGAATCATCCCAAAAATTTTCATTCCAAAGCACGAGTATTTCTCTGCTCCCTGCCTGGCTGATCTGTGATAAAAAACAGATAGTATTCATTTGTCAAATCAAACTAAACCTCTCTCCCTACAAACAAACAAAACACTATTTCAGAATTAATTGGTTGACTGCTGTCATTAACACATCTCTCTAGGAAGTGATAATTATCCAGCCACTGACTTTCTGACCACTTGACCACACCTACTCATTCCTTCCCTCTCTTCATTGTGCTTCAAATGCCATGTTAGCATCATTGCCTTGAATTAACTACTCCTCGTCTCCCTCCCTGTGCTTTCCATGTCTTTATGCACTTTTACCAGTATAACAATGAACCTAGAGACGGCTGGAAAGTTAAGAGACTCAGGATGTTCAACAATAGGACATTAAATATTTAAATTATTTTCAAATTAGCTGTATAGTCTAGCACTTCAAAGCTCAGAATAGTTAATGTATTTTTTTTTTAAAGTAGCGATTTTAACATATTGAAGGCTTTGTTATTTGCTGTCAAAAAAAAAAAGAGAAAAAAAAAAAGAGAAAAGAAAAAAGAAAATGGGAAAAGAGGGAAGGATAAAATAAAATAAAAACCTACCATCCCACCAACCTTCCCTGCTTTGTTCACAGAGTTCACTAAGTTAATAATTTTCTGTTCCTTCTGTGATCATCGACAGGAAAATTGAGGGGAATAAAATCTAGTGGGAAAACTTTGGATTTTAAATTAATGCTACCTTCCTGGGAAAGAACATTAAAATGAAAAATTATAAAAAAAAAAAAAGGCAAAACAACCATAAAAGGTTGCAGATAGTTACTAAGCCTGAGAAGTACTAAAGAAAAAGGGCTTACCTATGCCTGGACATGCAGGTGCATTTATTCAATATGATTAAGTGTAAGCCCATGAATAAACACTTTTCTTCCACTAGTATGAACATGTCAATAAAGCTTTCAAATGAAACTACTTCTTTCCATCATTTTTCTAAGTATCATAAACATAATAGCAGACTGTTCAGAGTCAGTGCTTTCTTAAACTGAACTGCATCTTTATTAATTTAAAGACTCAGTTCCTAGTAATGTACTACTTCAAGAGAAGTCAATAGAAATTTCAATCACATGAGTTAGTGCAGGCCTATCTGAAGATCTTGCAATACTCTCCTTAGATATAATCCATGTCTTTTACTCGACACAGTGTCTGTGATCAAGTTTAATCACAGGTGCAGATATCTGGATGAGGAGGGAGGGAGGGAAGGGCAGGAATTCTCCATCCCCCTGACACCCTCTTGGGACGTCAGCTGGGGTAGATGGCAGGAAGATACCTGCTCCACCTTCCTGCCATCTACCTGGTGGCTTCAAGAGGGGAAGTTGAGATATTAATTTAAAAGCAAACAAATTGTAATAAAAAACCCCAACAAATCACAGACCTAGTCAGTGCAAAACAGCAGTTTCTAGCAGATATGATGTGACTGACCTGACAGAAGGCAGACAATTGCATCTCATCATTGGAACTGTCTGTCTGGGTGGTCAGGAAGAGGAAAAAAAGAAGGAGGAAGAGGAGGATGGGAAGAAAAGCATTTCCGTGCTGTAGTTCTTATAAAATGCAAAACTGGGGTAGATCAGCTAAACAGCACTTTCAAGGTGCCACTTTCCCCTGTCAACCATGTCAAGGAGGCATGATCAGAATAGGTTCTCTCAATTTAGATGCAGTGAAATTAATTGAGTACTTTACTGTTTTTGTTGTGATCAATGGGGCACAAATTTTCCTTTGACTCTTCCCTCTGCCTCACTACTTCTAAGCACATTTGTATGAACAGTGTTGACACAGGCATAGTTACCTCTAACATACATTAAAAAAGCAAGACTTCGTGCTGCAAACACAAGAGAAACTTACAGATGAAGAGCAGGTTATTTCAAATGGAACCTGACTATGAATGAACTTTGCAAAAAACTAACAAATCACACAAAAAACCCACGAAGAATTGCAGCCATGCAGGATGGTGTATTTAAAAGATGCGTGTAGCATCATGTGCAGGTGGTAAGGTGACACTACCTTCCCAAAAGCGTCTCCAGAGAAGACAGCATCTGGGCAGGCGGCAAACACACACACACACACATTGACAGACCACAGATAGCTCTTGCCAACGAGGAAGCAGGAAGGGTCTCTGTGTGGAGTTCCAGTGGGGTTTACTCCAACCACACACCAAAAGGGTCCAGGAACAAAGACAGAACGTACTGGAGGATCCAGGAATATATGGGGGCTTGAGGGGGAGGATCTGAGAACCAGGGTCCAATGGGAACAGGATTAAGTGGTGCAGAGGCGGGGCCAGGGACAGGGATCCAACGGGATTGCAGGGGCGGAGGACTGCACCAAACTGGGACTAACCAAGGAACAGGGAAGGGAGAACTTTCTAGGAGAGGGACATACAAGGTAAAAAGGGGAGGGACAGCCAACAGGCAACCGGGGTATAGAAAAACTGGGGTACAACAGAATGGAGGTGCAAAGCACTATGGGAGAAGCCCTTCCTATTAGCTCTAAAATGGGGGAAAACCTTAAACCCTGGAGGCCTCCCTCCACACGATAACACCTTTTGGCTCTGAAGCCTCCACAGATGTGTAGATGTGGCATTTGGGGAAACGGCTTAGCGGTGGGCTTGGCAGTGCTGATTTAACAGTTGGACTTGTTGGTCTCAGAGGTGTGTTCCAGCCTCAATGATTCTCTCATACTCTGTGTTCACAGGGTGTCCCTGCAGTCCACAGGCTGAACAGCAGAGCCCACCATGACTTGGAGTGCAGCAGAGCTCAGAGAGAAACTTTCTTGGAAGTTTTTGGGTTTTTGGGGCAGATATGATATTGTACAGTGAACACACAGAGAAAAACACAGGTTTTGCCTCTCCACAGAAAGCACATTTTTTTTCAAATGAATGTATAAAAATACATTTACAGTAAATAAAAACAAGCAAACAAGGGCCACTAGTTCACATACCACACCAAACATCTCCCTCTTTAACCAAAAGAATCAGGAAGATCAAGCTTTACATAACAAATCCTTGCCACATTACTCAATAAACTGAAGAGAAGGGTTCAGTGAGAAGAAGGAAAAAAAATACCTATATATATTCAAGGTAGTAATGCACAAATAGGTATAAAAGAGTGCACCAAAGCACGCTGAAGTTCTGTGCCTTCCTATGTGGCACTTAATAATTGTGTAGAGATCACACAAATATCTCAAAAGTTAAAAATCTCTATGTCATTTTTACTACAGGTATCAGAAATATAAACTGTTAAGTATATAAAGATAACCTTTGCACCTTACTATCTACTTTAAACTATGTAGTAAGTTTTATAAGCCATAGCATCCCCTCTAAAATTTTAAAATGGTTCTAGCAAAATATCAAATATTGTGAGGCACTCTGCTGTAATTAAGTCTTTTTTGAAATGCAAGTGTAAAAAAATCCTCTGCACAAGATCAGTCACATTTCTGACAATGCAGGACTTCTTATCGTACTCAATACTATTATTTCAATGCTTTAACATTGAATTAACATGGAATTTAATTTGGAGACAGTCTTCATGGCACAGCACATTTCTATTTCCCAACAAATATTATTCATTTGTGCATTTCCCAGGATTCTGCTGTCTGGCCTTGACTAGTCCTGCAGCTTCTGAGTGCCTTTGTTTCCCATGGCTAATTCACCACCATTTTTGTACTTGTCAGCAAAATAATCAGAGTCGAAACTCACAGAAAAATCTGGAGGACTCACATAAACATTTCCATTGTCTATTGTGACTGTATGAATCCTTTGTTTGACTCCTTTTGACTGCCACTTCGGTGTTGGTGATGACTCCAGAGGATTTATTCCTTCATATAATCCTTCTCCTGTTTCCAAGGTAATTTTAAACTTATGCCAAGGACAAACAATACATGCTTGTCCATTGATATCCTACAGAAAGAATAAGAAGAAAAGATAGCAAGTCATCTTCTAGGACAAAAAGTATGTTTGGTAGTTTGGTTCTATGGCTGTCTACTGTTACATGTATACAACTGGGTTTTTCCATATAATGTTCGGATAAAAGCATTATAAAAAATCACATGACTCTATGCCTCTGTATTATTTCAATTTTGCTTACATACCTCTATTTCTCCACAGTATAAAGGGCCACCTTCATCTGAAACATGGCAGAACACTGTATTAATTTATACAGCAGATTTTATGTTTAGTTCTAACACTGAGATAACACAGGCAAACATCTTACGGTAGCAGCGAGAGTCCAGAGCATGAAATTTCCCTTCATGGTAGAACACAACAATTTCTCTGCCATTGATTTTGGCTGTTATTCTTTGGGACTTCTTTATGTCCTCTTCTTTGCCAATGAATATAAGACCATCAGGCTCCGTTTCAGTTCTTGTGCTTGAGCTGTGCAAATCCACGTCCTTAAAACACACGTACAAATAAATGAAAAGGTCACTTGCAAAGCAATTCACTTTTGGAATTCATGGGAAGTGGGAGGAAAGGTTTCAGTGAAAGACTATCAACATGCAGAGGTGGAAAAACACAAGAGCTTGGTGATAATGTTCAGTTAATGCGTTCACTAATAGAACTAGGAAAGCCAGCTGTTGGAAACCTGATACCTGAGGGTGAGGCAAGATAAACTCTTAATCACTATGCTTTTACTCTGCATCTATGCCACCTTCACCCCTCAAAACCCTTATGCAAACAGATAAAAAGATGGTAAATGTAAAATACTATACAGTTCAGGTATGGAACAGGTAGCATTTACATGTAAATCCAATACTCTTTAGATAATATTATGGCTACAAATATAAAATGATTTAAGTTAATAAAGAATTATTCTGCAAAGGAAAGAAAACATTATTTATTGAGAAGCTGTATTCAACCTGACATTTTTAACAAATATGCCTGCCTTTCCTTCCCTCTTACATATTTCAAACATATAACAGATTCTGCCTCTCACAAGACAGAATATAAGCAGTTTTATGACAAAAACAACTTTCCCACTAAATTTACTTACAGTTAGCTACTGTGTTCCAGTTCTTCACAAATTTCCAATACAACCTTGCTTCTTCAGAAAAATAAAGCTAAGCCAGGTCTTAATAAACACAGAAAGGGGAACCATGGATGAGGGCGGGGGCGGGGGAGGTGGGGGGTGTCTCTCTGGCTGCAGGAGCATGCAGAGCCACAGAGAGCTGCAGTGTACCTTTGGTCCACACCAGATTGCAATGGAGATGAGAAAGCAGATGAAGAAATGAAGGCTGAGGATGATGAGGTCCAGCATCGCCTCTTCTTCACGGTGTCTATCACCACTGCCCTGCCTTGTTCCCATATGTCACAAGGTGCTTCACAGGCCCTCTAAAAATGCAAGCAGGAGGCAATGAGGCCAGGCCCTGTAGCACCCTATGGCAGGACTTCAGAGGCTCAATGCATCAGAAACTGGCTCTGCCAGGGCTGATAAGAACCAGGGACACACTGGGGATGGCCTGATAAGAGAAGAGCAGAGCTTCTGGTTCCCCCTGCTGCTGTCCTCACTGTGAGCCCATGTTTTGGGAGCTGCCTGCTCCCAAAACCCTGCTCAGAGCCCAAGTGGTGTGTACTCAGGATGAGCCACTGCAGGTTTCTTTATAAACCACTGTGCTGGGAAGGCTGATTTAAATGACAGTGTGTCATTTCCAAGACCAGTTTTTGACTGATACGCACACAATCAACTTCTAAGACCAATTCCCTCCTTTCCAGTTCAAGGAACTACCACTCAGTCTTATCCAGAACGTGAAATGTCACTGCCAGACTCACAGGACGATCCTGTAAGGCATTCATACTTAGTTTTCTCAGGAGATAAGCAAACTAACCATAGGAACCAGGGTAGGAAATCTCCATTTTTTGCTATCACCTTTTGGCTGACTTTCCCTATAAACTTTCCAAATTGGCAAAGATACTAAAATGCAGAAATTTGTAGTTAAAACCTCTCTTATTAAGACACCTCTAAAAAACCTTCTGTATATAAATACATCTATAGAAACAGAAACACACACACATACATAGTTCAGTACACACATACCTGTGTGTATCTCCCAACCAGGGTTAGAATACACCTGTCACCTAGCCTCCAGCTCATTTAGCAATGATGTTTTACACTCAACTTGGATTTTGCACACATAAATTCTCCAGGCCCTCATTCTGAAACCTGACTGAGACCACCAGTACATTGTGGACCCTGGCTGGCCTAAATTGCACAAGCAATCAGTAGCCAGCAGGTTTCTTTCACAGTTGATACTCACACATTTATCTACAAACAAATGTAGACTGAGGACTGCAGTGACACATCAGGGACCTCCAGAAGAAAACCCTCAAGGCAACTTTCTTCCTTCAGATAAGAAGAAATGGGTCACATCACCCCCTCACAGATCCCAAGACAAAATCCTGAGCTACCAGAGCAACTCCAATTCGTGGAAGTGAGCACACATTGGTCAGTAAGAGGAAAGTTTATTTCCAGGCTTATACACAGTAAGCCTTCTAACAGTTTTTTCCTGATATTTTCTTAAGAGCTTGGCTGCTTTGGTATTTTCTGAGTCACTGCAAACAGTACAGATGGAATTGCCCCTGCTGCCAAGTGCCACCTGGTGGGAACGACAAAAAGATGTGCGACCAAGCATAAGGGCTTCTTCTCCAGCTGGAAACGGAGCTGGATTTATGAATTGTGGCAATTCATTGCTGTGCCTTGCTCTGAATAATTTTTCCCCATTTCGGGTAAAAGGAAAAATACCCCTGCCATGGGGGATCGCCCGCCGCTCTCCTCGGCTCTCCTTCGGGGGTGTGAGGAGAGCGGTGGCGATGTTTAGAGGAGAATGCTCCACCGGGGCAGGGCAAGCATATATGTATGTGTATATATAAATATACACACAAGGCTCCGTGGAGGCTCGGGGAAGGTCAACAGAGCTGCGGCTGCCCCGCTGCAGATGGGGAGGGGGAGATGGAGGAGAGACCCTCACCCCCATCTTTAGTCGCCCGTGGCATCCCTCCACGGCAGAGGACGCACGCCGTCCTGCTGCTGGTGCCTGTGTCTTTTATGTTAGCTCTTAGCTGAGCTTGGGGCACTTTCATTTCATTTCATTTCATTTCATTTCATTTCATTTCATTTCATTTCATTTCATTTCATTTCATTTCATTTCATTTTCTTCCTCCCTATGTTTCGATACCAAACTTATAGAAGTGGGTAAAAATCAGCAAGATGGCAGTTGCTACACAAATTGTCTTGACTTTATTCCCATTCAGAACCCAAGCTTTTGTTATCATTACAAAGCCTTACCAATATTTTAGTCGTATTCATGGGTTTTGGGATAACTCATTCAGAAATAAAATTGTCCAGTCCAGGAAATTACTTGTTCTTGTTGTGGTGGTGTTTTTTTTTGGTGGTTGCTGTTGTTTAAACCCACTAGAAGAGTGTGGACGTGACCTTTTTGTTTCAAGGAGGCTGATTATATATTATATAGTTATATCTCTCTATATAATTAATAATATATTATTAATATATTAATATAATATATTATTGAATATCATATTTAATATCTTGATAATTAATTAATTAACACAGACTGAGTAGAGGACTGTTACAGGAATACTGCATAGGATGTGTATGTCTAAAACCTGCCCTTCTTGTGGCAAAAACATTCTAAAACACTGTTAGAGTTATTCCTGCCTGGCATGGTTTAAGGCAGAGCAATGAAAGAATATTGGTCTGAGACTGTATCATCCTCATTTAACTCTGTTGCTGTTGATGAGAGTTTCACTGCACTCACTGAACCAGCTGATTTTTTCTTTTTTCATCAATTTGACATTACAAATAAAGCCAAACCTACACTTTTCTGTGATGTAAGAGTTCCTGCAATGTTTACAGCCAGTAGCATATGTGTTATCAAAACCCTCAGTATGTTGATAACAGCTCATCTGTATGAAAATGATTGACAAACCAAAGCAGATGACATCAAAAGCTCAGTGGCTGCTTTTTAAGTAATGGTGAAGCCTAAACCAACCCCCATGGACAGAGAGGTGCTGTAAAGCTCATTCCCAAGGCACCTGTGCCAGCCCCCCCAATCTCATGCAGGATCACATTTCTTTGGCCTTTCCTGATGAATATTTTGAACTTAATCAGTTCCAGGGGTAGAGTTTAAGTCGCTTGGAAGACTGTTTTCATGTTTAAACCCTTAGAGTTCTTAACTGTTTTTCTCCAAATTGCTCATCAGAACAGGCCTGCCTGAAAACCAAACTAATTTCTTTTTCCTGCTCTTGGTGACAGCGTTTTTCACACTGTGAAGCCTTAGTCACTGCAGAGGACTCCTCAAGGTTTCTCTGACAGCTGATATCTAATTCAATTCACAGGTCCCTTATTTATATTATTTTCCTCCAAATGTTCTCATCTGTTTATGATCCTTCTTAAAAGATAAACTCACAAAGCAGAGTCAATACCCTGGGCATTCACTGCAGTTGATAAAACAGTTGCCTCTTGTGTCTTACAAACAACACTCCTTTAAATCATACTCACACATCACTCATTTCTTTTTTCACCACATCACGTGGTTGGCTAATGCTCTGTTTCAATTTCTTCAAAATTTCCAGACATATTACACTTTTTTTTGAACTGCAAAAATGCAGCCAAGACAGTTTTTTGTTTTTCTCTTTCCTTTTTTACTGTTTTTCCCTTTCCATTTTATTTTCATTTCAAATTACTCTATGATCATTCTACCTGATTGATTTCAGGTATTTTTTTCCAGCTAATCAAGGCTCCTTTGGATTCTTAGCCCATCCTCAGGAGCACTGGTAGCTCTCCCAGGGTGCATTTTTTCATGCTTAACAAGGAAAGAGTGCACACCCCTGCATTCAATTCCCAAAAAATACCAAACAGCACAACACTGAATTCTGGCAGACCAATTGTATTATTTGGGGAAAAGGCACAAAGTGAAAAAACAAGAGTTATAAAACTCATTATGTGTTTAAGTATTTGATATAAATAGCTGGAAGACATAGCTATTCAGATTTTATATATTTATTTTATATTTTCAACTGGATAACTGGCTCAAAAATTTGAGAAGAGATGAGCAAATAAAGGTGTTCTTCTGCTTTTAGAAAATAAGACTGAAACAATACAGGATTTTTCACTGGCTTTCATTGCCAAAAGTGCAGTTTTATTTCCTGCTCCAAGTTCTCTCTAGAAAGTGCAGTTCACATGACAGTTCTGAAAGAGTAGGTTTTGCAGTTTGTATTGCGAAGAATGTTTTCCTGAGCAGTAGCTAGAAAGATCCCAGATAAACCTTCAGCAGTGACTTAATCTAATGTTTAGTTTCAATAAGATTCATCTCCTACATGTTTTATCACAGGTCACTTGAAAAATTTACTATTAACATTAATTTCCTTGTGTGTTTAGGTAAATTAATGTCAGTCTTATTTCTTTGATCCTCTGTCTCATAATGAGTGCCTGCATATCTAGGGAGGTAAGAACTCCATTACCATATCTTGTTATTATATTATTACATATTATCATGCTTGTCCAGATCAATGGTACATTTCCTATATGGAGTCTTTATCACATTTCTTCCACGTGACCCTTCATAATGGAAGTTTCTTTGATAAGCTAATGAACCTGCCATCCTTTCAGATCTAATACTATTCCTGGATGCTTATGCACTATCATTTCTATAGTAAATTGTTAGGCATTACTGCTATCAAAGATTAATTGTATCTAAACCTCCTTTATTTAACAGAAAATAATTCTGTATCTAATCATTTCCTTGAGTTGTATTGATGATAGTAACAGTAGTAAGGAAATTGTTTTTGTAAGAAGCCAAGTATTTCACAGAGCTGAAAAAATGTTATGTACCACAAGAAAAAGATACATTCAAAATATTCCTTCCAACTTCTGTTCCAGCAAGGGAGCATGCAAACCCTGGAATCCTCGTTTCCAGTCCTAGAGGGTTGGGAATTCCTCTCTGTGCCACAGATGGCAGAGCTCAAGGCTTTCAGCCCAGATTAATGTACAGTCACCAAGGAGATGCACAGGTCTGGCTTCCAGTGAAGTGGTGGGGGGACTGAACAACATATAAAAAATATCAAAAGGCAATGCTGCACCACAGGCCACAACTGTTATTATCACTTTTGTGTAATTTTTATCATAACTATTGAGAGTGATTTCAACAGCATCAAAACAAAACATCAGAAGACCTGACACTACATTCAGAGTGAAGGACTTCTGGTAGTATCCACGTTAAATGTCATCAGTGGAAGTTTCTCCTTCCTGTCCCCTATAGAAGCTCTTTGTTCTTGTTAGGATCTCTTCCATAAAATGTGGAAGAGTAATTGAGTGTCTTTTAAATTATTTTATCATTCTAACATTGCTGAAAAAACCTGGCTTTTTAATAATTCAAGGATCTCAGAATGCAAGGAAGTTCTTGTTTCAAATCAAGAAATAAAAG